CACATCATAAAAACCACCATGCTTTGCAAAGTCATGCAATAAAAACTACAGGGCTTATGGGACAAGAAAAAATGGGATTAAGGATACACTACTCGAAAACTTCTTCAGTGACATTTTTTTAAAAGATTAGAATCTAATAAAAACATCAGCAGAGTTTTACACCCAATAAATGGTTAGGAAATACATAAATGCCATGCGACAATAAATATGGCACTTTACCTTGAAAAGTCCTGAAGTTTCCCTGTGAAGTGGGGGCTGGAGAGTTAAAGCTTTTGAGTTATTATGAAGTGGTGGATGAAGGGTTGTCTGAAATCAGAAGGAAAGTTGTAATTCCAGACATGGATGGATGTGGCTTAATAGCAAATGCAGTGAACTGATGGTAGATGTTAGCAGGTAGATGTCTGAAGGTATGTGTGTGTGTGTGTGTGTGTAGGCATGTGTTCACGTGTGTGTGCACAAGTGCATTTAGTGTTTTCCTGTGTTGCTCCACGTGGCTGGGTGCAGATTTCCAAATACCTTAAGTGTGAAACTCATGTTCATTCAAATTATTCCCTAATAAATCAATAGAAGTGGAAGGGATCTGCACTTTCAAGACCAACGTTATGGCAGAACTGACTCTATTTTCTCCTGCCAGAGTGGATGCTCCCTTGTTCTGCGGCATGTATACCCAAAGCAGCTGAGGCTCATTCCTTCATTCAGCAAATATCACAGTTCCAGGCCCTCTGCTAGGCTCTGACGATGCAAGCACAATAAAAGCCACCTTTTCCTTCAGAAGGAAAGAGAAGTAAACATAGCATCAGCATATAGTACAAGATGACCGACTCCAGCTGGAAGAGTCTCCACTGCCTGTAAAATACAAAAGGGCACAGCAGATAACTGTCACAATGAATCACGGAGAACTTCATGGAGGAGGGTGACACTTAGCCCCCTTACAGGATGTGACATGGAGAAGAAGGGAGGAGCTGTCCAGGCAGAGGGAACAGCATAAGCAAAGGCACAGATGTAGGATATGGCGGGCCTGTGTGCATAATGGCTGGTGCCCTGACGTGGCTGCATGGGATGTGGTGAGGGGTGTGGCCAGTAAGGCCAGATGGAGTCATAGAGGTCCAGTTCTGCCAGTCATAGGTATTGGGACTTTTCCAGAAGGCAGTGAAGAGCTACTGCAGGTTTCCAAACAGGACATATGGTATGACTTTGTTTTAGAAAGAAATCCCGAGCTGCAGCAGGCTGATGTGCTGGGTGCTGATGCAGAAGGCAGCTCATGGAGATGCCGACTTTCTGGAATGGGGCTTCTTGCATGTATGACACTTCTAGCCATACTGGATGGAAACCAAATCATTTGTCTCCCTCTCACATGCTCTTGGAGATTCAGAAATGGCCCAGCACCCATGAGACTGAGGCCTGGGAACAGGTGAAAGTCGATCACCTCCTCACCTGGGCCTCAGGGATGTTTCTCAGTTCCAGCTAGGATGCCTCTGTTCATAGGGTTGGTGATGATGACACGGCCACTTAGTGACTTGAGCCGGAAGTGAGAGGAAGGCGCATAGACACCTTTTGGCATTATCATTTTTCCTGTGAAACTTCTGTGGCTATTAACCTGGAATCTTTGGCCAGTCAACATTAAATCAGAGCCCTTGTCTTAGATTCATTTTTTTTTTTAAAGTTTGCAATGGTAAAGGAAAAAGGGAAGACGCCATTCCACACCTTAACACAGGCTCCCTAGCACAGGACCTGGCATGTGATAGGTGCTCAGTAAAGTTTTATGAACATCAACCTTCCTAAAAATGTCTTTCAGAGAAAGATAGTCCAAATGTAGGAGGAATTGATGTGTCTTGAGCAACTTATGTACCAAACATGGTTTGAGTACTCTCACATCCATTAACTCATTTGGTCTTCTTCCCAATGACCTAAGAGGTGGAGATTTTTAACAATAAAGAAACAGAAGCTCAGAAGGTTAAGCTCCCCAGAGTCACACAGCTAACACATGGCAGAGTCAGAATTTAAAATTGGGTCGCCAGGCTGTGGAGCCTACTCCACTTCTGTTCTCCATTCAAGCACTCTTCTGAGTTTGTGAAATACATAAGGACCTGGCCTATCCTTCCTCTAATAAGAACACCTATTTCTGGTATGTCGCCAGGAGATACCTTGTGATACACCCCCTCCCTCCACACCCCCATTTAAGAAGGGTAGCTGAGGCTCCAGAGTGATTGCCCAACTCCTGGAGAGAGGAGCATCAGTGGGAAAGGTTACAGGTGTACCTGGAGCCGATGAGCACCACCTTCCTGCCAGGCTACCCAGGATAACGGCCCCACCCTGCCGCAGGCAGTCCTCTGGCTTCAAGGTGAGGAGGCTGCAGGTCACCCAGTGCGTTGAGGGCAGAGCTGAGATCCAACGGGGATCCCCTAACTCCAGCCAGGTGGTGTCCCCCAGCCAGTGGTCTCTAAAGGAAGGTGCAGAGGTCTAGGCCCATCTGTCTTTAAACAGAGCAGCTGCACCCTTATTTGGCTCATATATTGAAGTTCTGCTGGGGGAGAAAACAATGTTTGAAAACCTCGGCAGCCTTGGGCTACACTGCCTGGATTCTAACAAATAGCTCTTGACTCTCTCCTGCCAGGCTCCCTCGTAAAGAAGTCTTTTGTTTCCTACAGATATCCTTGGTTAATTATTTTTAAATAAATAATTATGTAGCCTGTGGTAGGGGAGAAGACTCCCCACGACCCATATTTGATCATCAGAGGGCTGGCCCTCTTCCTGCAGCCAAATTAAATAAGCCAAAACTGGAGTCTGTTTGACTTGAGACTGAATCGATGATGGGGACAGGCTGGGAGGTGAAAACATACCCAACTCCCAGCGTTATCACCACTCTCTCAGGAGCAGGGCATCTTGGGGAGGTAAATAGCTGGTCAGGGAGTCAGAAAGGGCAGGAGAAAAACAGGGTGAAGTCCAGTTCCTCTAAAAGGACAGAACAAGAGGGCAGGGGCCAGACCACTCTCCCAAATTGCTTCCAGGGCAAAGCATCGGTGGGTCCATCAGAGCAGGATTCTTTGAGAACTATTCTCCATGGGAAAGTAGTTCCATCCAGTACTTGGAATCTGCACTAAGCTGTCTAGAATTCTAGTCTTCAGGCAAATATCTTGGGGTCCATCCCCACACCAGCCCCCTCCCCATGCAGAGTTGCTGTTTATTTAGCATTATGCTAGGAGCTTTATAGATATTGCCTCTAATAAAAAAATAGCCCCTGTGAAGACAACAGTTTCTCCATTTTACAAGAGGAAACTGAGGCAGAGAGAGAAGTCATTTTCCCAAGATCACCAAGCTGTTAAGAGCAAAGTCAGGATGTGAGCATGAGTTTGTCCAACTCCAGGGCCCACAGTCTTCTCACCGTCTTGCCTTGTTAGAAAATTCTTCTTTTTATTGATTTAAAATCTTCCTCCCTCTTTTCCATTGGACGTAGCTTTGCCTTCTGAGCTCGCAAAGTTCAGATCTTTCTTCTTCTATATAACAACACTGTGAGCTGTTGGAAGCATCCTGCTGGGAACCCAGTAGCAAATGTGAGTGGAGAAAAAGGACCTAATATATTCCAATGGGATGGAGTAGAGGGTGGTAAGTAGGAGGCATAGGTGGCTACAGATAGGTGCACAGGGAGATGGACAGGGCTGGGCAGGGGGTGTTGATTTGAAGACATAGAAGCCTTTCTTCTTTTTCACTTCATAGTTCCTGTTCCTCCCAAAATGTAGTGCCCCAGACCAATAACTACTGAAATCCAGTGCTGTCCCACTGCCAACACCACCCCCACTAGCAGCCCCTTGAATCCAAGGATGAGAAAAACAACCAACAGAAGTAGCCCACAGGGCACACATCAAGCCACTTACAGTCAAACAAGGTGCTCTTGAAGGTCAGAAGCCTGCCCTAGCCTTTGTTTGTCTGCTCCCAGCCCTCTTAAGCACTAGGTTGTATCAGCCTTGGGTAACAGCCTTTGGACAATCCAAAGATAACTGGCTTAGGTCTCCTCTTGGCAAGTTTCATCTTAGTGATTTGGAAGCTGCTGGTTATAGCAGCTTGTGGGGCCCCTGGGGAGGGGGCTGGGGGTGTTTTGTAGCCTCCTTGGGATGGTGGGGCTCCAGTGAGGGCAGGAGTCAGGGCAGGGGGGCAGCAGACCAACAGAATCAGTATACTTTATACAGTGATGGTTCATCTTGGGGAACTGGGCAGAACAGGACTTGGACCCCTTCAGCATCCTTCAGTTGCCGGGTCTCTGCCCAGCACTTTCCCTTTCATGAGCACAGACCTCTGTTTTGGCTCCTGAGCAAGAGGGAGAGACAGAGCAGTGAGGTTTCAAACATGCTTGGTTTGCCCCCCTTTGCAGACCAAATTGCAGTGATTTACTGAGCACCACCTCCCACCGAGGAGTGCGCCCCCCGCGCCCTACCTCCCAGCAGATGTGCCTCCCCCATGCCCTGGGAGTCGGCCAGGTGGGACCCTTCAAAGGAATGTGAGTTGCAGAGCCAGACTCCCAGCTGCAGCCCATCCTGCCTACTCTGCCTGTGTCCCCACCGGCTTCTTGGACTCAGCCGAAAGAGTGGTGCACACAAACTGGTGCATTTTGCTATGGCCCTTACAAGGGTCCTCTTTGTAAAGTGGTTCTACTCATGCCTTGCAGCTCCACACAACCAAGAGATGCTTGGGAAACATTTCTGGAAGGCATTTTGAAGAACAAAAGAAATACTCTAGCCAGGAAAAGAAGGTCAATCTCAACCCCTAAATCCTGACAGAATTATGCTGAAACAACACTGAGCAGAATCTACTTGCTTGTTCATTCATTCATCTGACAGATATTTATGGAGAGACTTTCAAGTGCCAAGGCACTGGGGATACAGCAGCAAACAAAACCAGAGAAAAATGTCCTGCCCTTGTGAAGCTTACATTCCAGAATTCAAGTAGAGGCCACGCCAACTGTACCCTAGAGAAAGACAGCAATATTTCTCATTTCTTGTGGGTAGACAGGGGTAGAGAAGGCAACTTTGTTTTCTTATCCTCCTCCTGTAAAAACAAGGGGAGCTGAGTCAGCATCCGAGGGACCCATGGCGCTAACATTTGCTTTTACGTTGGGTCTGCCCTGTTTTGCAGGAGTGCGCTACAGCCAGCAGGGAAACAATGAGGTCACTTCCTCCTCAACAATCAGTCACCATGGCAGCAGTGCCATGGTGACCAGCCAGTCGGTTTTACAGCAAGTCTCTCCAACCAGCCTGGACCCAGGCCACAATCTCCTCTCACCTGATGGTAAAATGGTGAGTACACCTGGGCCATTGTAGCTCTGGAGCTGATAAGATAAGAGGCAAAACAAACACAACTTCTCACAAGGCCTGCCTCAAACAATGAACCATTGTAGCCCCACAGGGGAAAATGGGGGACATCCAGAGTTGGAGTGGAAAGGTAGAACTGGTGACCCAGCCCTCAGAGGGTGGAAGAGGCGTTCGTTTTGAACCCAGCCAATAAATCTGACAGAGCTCTGCTCTCATTCTATTGATTGAATGCCTCATAAAGGAGCAAGCTGGGTGGGACACTATTTGTTTTGGGGCTGCCAATGTCATTTGTGTTGATAAAATGTTCATTCATCCCCCCTAAGGCCTCCAAAGCCAGATTTTTAACCCAGAGAGCACCTCACTTTGAAACAGGTCCCCTCTTTCTCTCCACCACCCCCAGTGCTGGCCAGAAGAATTAAGGCAGGATTTGGTGGATGGCAGGAGGTGAGGAAAGGCTTTTTGAGCTAGGAGTTTGAAGGACTCTGGATGGCATGCCAGAGAAGATCACAGCACAGAATGGCAGGTGGGGTGGGGCGATGCTCACAGGGTGAGGGAGAATCACCGACTTTGAAGTCACTGTGAGCTGGGTCACATCCCAGCTCCAGCGCTTCACAGCTGTGTAGCCTGGGCCAGGTTGCTGAACTGCTCTAGGTCTTTTTCTCATCTGTAAAATGGGGTAGTAACAATAGGATTGGGGGAACACATGGGTTAGCACTGGAAATACACAGCACACGGATCACATCGTGAATATTCAATGCATGGCAGTGTTGTTGTTACTGTCAGTGTTACTCTCCTCAGACGAAGTTTTCTGCATTGAGAACCACAGCTCACACCCAGATGTCCATTTAGCATACCTGGTGAGGAGTAGACTATTTGAACTTGAATTTTCAAGGTTCTAATCCTCTAGCAACACAGGTGCAGGGAGAGCAAGTATTACGACACTGGTCAGGGTAGGAAATGGAAAACTATTCTTTGGGTTTCAGGCAAGGGAGGAGCCACAGGTTCCTGGCTTCCACCCTCAAGTTGGAGCCGCACACATTCCCTTAAGGTGTCTGACCCAGAGGCAGGTGGGGACCGGAGTGGGGGGAAGGGGACTGGGAGCAGATGCCAATTTAGGCCTTGACATGTGTGCTGTGTAGGCAACACAGGAATGGTGAGTCACAGGTGATTGAGTCCCCAGCTCCCTGGAGGAAAAATAAAGTGTAGTCTCCAGGGGGAGTGCGGGCCTGGCCAGCTCTCATTCCAGGGGCTGAGCGCTCTCCCTGGTGGTGCTCTCTGCAGACTAAAGGACAGCGCAGTCCTGGGGGAGGCATTGGGCGACCCCCTTGCCTTTTCCCCATCCCTTAAGCGCTTCTTCATGAAGAACAGTTTGTGTCGGCTACCTTATGAGAAGCACAGACAAGTCTTCATGAGTTCTCAAGAGTCACTTTGAGACCCAAACAAGTTCAGGGTAAGGATTGCCCAGGCTTCCCTGGGGAAGGGGGCCTTGTGGTAGAGGTCATGACTTCTCAGTGGATGAAAACTCCCAAGTCTCTGCTCCTATTGCTTGAAGGTCTTTGGGGTTTCCCCCCACCCCTCTTCCTCCTGAGGCACACTGCCTCCCCCAGGCCAGGGCTGCTGTCAGGCAGCCTGCAGACATGCTTTTTTCTTCCTGTTCTGCCTGGCAGTGCCCTAATGGGCAGATATTATTGGATTGATGATTGACTAAGACAGCACTCAACGTTAGCAAACACCTGGAAGTTTGTTTGCAGTGACCAGCTTTTCACTAGTCTCCAACACCCTGGTTCATATGTTATGTCACTATCACTGGTTGCCCAAATTCAGGAGTGCTTTCTGTTAATATATAACAAGCCCATCACCGGTCTTGGTCCCCCACAGCAAGAGCAGAGTGTGGTTAAAAATAACACAGGCACAGGAACCAGTATCTAAGTCTTGGGCTCTGTTAGTTGTCAGCAGTAGGAAGGACGTTGCTGAAATTCCATTTCCTCATCTGTAAAATGAGGGCTAATAATGCCTGCATCGTGGGGTTGGTATGAAAATTGCTCATAGCTCTGCTGTTCTTTGAGTGAGCCTTGGACAAGGAATGGTCACTTCCTGTGTGCTAACTCTATAGAACGTGCATTTGAAATCCTCCCCCAGGGATTAGTTTTGGAAAAAATGCTGATCCCATTGAGCTTTCTTGTGCATTCTCTGTCCCCCACCCCATGTGCAAACTGCATTCATTGACAGAAAGCTGGCCAGGTTCAGGGCTGCAGTTTATGTGTGCTGAAACTTGCTTTTTTTAAAAAGCACGTACTGGATGCTTTCACAGTACCAAAGCAGTATGGCCTAACTGTGAGAAGCTCAGGGCTTGGAGGCAGATAGCCAAGTCTTGGGCACATTTCTTAATTTCTCTAAACTTCCATTTCCTTGTCTGCAAATAGCGACGATAAGACTAACCTCACAGGTTGCAGGCAGGAAAGCACTTAATGTAGTGAAAGTATTCCAAATGGCATTCGGCATTCATGAACTCACACTCTCCCAATTATCACTGCAAGGATCGTGACAGCCTCTGCTGCTCCCTGGCTTCTGTCAGTCCTGGAAGCAAATGGAAAATAATGGTGGCATTGTAGAGTAGGAAGGAACCGACCCAAGTTACCCCAAAATAGTAAGTGGATGGGATTTAAACTCCAGCCAAACTGGGTTTGAAGCCTGGCTTCCTCACTCACTAGGCTAGCCTCTCAACTCTTCTGGATTAGTTTCTTAATTTGTAATATGGGCGCAATCATAAGAATGCCTTCCCTATGCGTACAGTCATCATGTAGTGCAGCCAAGCAGCGAAAGCCCTTGACTAACTCTAACGCCCACCCATTTAAGTTGGTCTTATCATTGGCATCCACATTTCTCTTTCACCGTTAAAATCAGACATTGGAATGGCAGAGATTACTGTCACTCCGTTGATTTCTCCAAGGATTGTATTACCCAAGGGAAGTCCAAAGGCAGGTTACTTATTTATTTATTTTTTTTATAACTCTGACATTTTGAAAAACAAGTCCAGCGAACAGGCTGGTTCTCTCTTGTTTGATGTGGTCAGAATTCCTTCTTGGTCACGTGACCTCTAACTCACTTCTTGATGCTCATTTTAAAAACACAAACAAACCTGTTTGGTTCTTTCTTTCTTTCTTTTTCAAATTAACCTTGGAAGCTGTGGGGTTGACCAGAGGGCAGGGCAGGAGATAGTGTCTTACCTGGGCACTGGTGTGAGGCCTGTAATCTGTGGAGCTCTGAGTAATGAGAGGCGGGAAGAGGGAAATGTCTCATGTAAGCATCTCTCAGTGTTCCTGGTGCCATTAATGATGTCTGGGTTAATTCAGAATGCAGGAGGATGTGTTTCTTAATAATGGTTTTAAAAATTATCTTAAAAATATAAATAGTAAGCTCCTCTGCCATGAAAAAAGTGTGTGTGTGTGTGTGTAAAACCGATAGCTCCTTATATTAATGGGGAAACACTGGAAGTATTTCTGATAGCATCAGAATCAGAGAAAGCACATCTCTTACAGCTGTTATTTAATATTCTTTAGAAATTTCTAACCAATACAGTAAGACATGTACACATATTAGTACTAGCAAGGAAGAGACCCTGTCAGCATAATTGTTATGACATTATATGCTTGGAAAAATGAAGAAAATCAATAAGGGAAAGACATTAATTAGGAATAAATGGAAAGATTCAACCTTAGATAAAAGGATTCAAAGTGGCCGTGTACGAAGTAAACACATGAAAATCAGTAGCTCTTTGTTACTAATCTGTCTTTTAAAAATAATGGTGAAACAGAATGGGGGTGGCTAAGGCCCAAGGATTGTTTGGTGGCTTTGTCATTATCATATCAGATCCTTGACCAAAAAAAAAAAATTAGTGAATAATGGAGATTTAGAAAAATTGAAGAAGCCCAATAATGGCTGATCTCCCCCAAACCTTCGTAGTAATTACAAGAGTGAGGAAAGTCCTCTATGAATGGTAAGACTTGAGTTCTAGGGTTAGATCTGGCTTTGAATACCAGATGTACCATTTGCTAGTGGCTCTTCTTAGGCAACATACATATACCTACTCTGAGCCTTGGGTTTTTCATCAATGAGTTGGAAATGGCAGAAGTATCCACTTCATGTGACTGTAGTAAGGCTTGTGAATTAACATGTGAGCAGTGCTTACATGACCTATAGTCAGTGAGAGCTTCCCTGTGCCCCAGCCTGGGCCCTTATCTGCTCTCACTGGGGAACCCAGGACGTTTCTTCAGTCATTATTTTTAGCCATTATGTGTCTTTAACACCCATAAGATGGAAGGCAGAGAGTAGAACAGAGGGTACTTCCAAAGTAAGGAAGCAGCAATCATATAATACTAAAGGTCAGAAGAATCTCTAAAGCAGGCTAGTAACTCCAAGGCAGTCAACAGCACCGTCAGGGAAGAGATTATTGGTCATTTTACTCACTGCTTTATCTTCAGCACCTGGAATCGTGCCTATCCCACAGTAGGTGTTTAAAACTGTTATTGTGTGAATGAATGAAGGAATCCATGAATTAGCTGTGCCAAGGAATTGCTAAGTCGTGTCATTTTGGAGTTTGCGCTTTGCAGTCTCGGTTGCACTCACGCTGCTCTTGTCTTTCTCTCCGGCAGATCTCAGTCTCAGGAGGTGGGTTGCCCCCTGTCAGCACCTTGACGAACATCCACAGCCTGTCCCACCATAATCCCCAGCAATCTCAAAACCTCATCATGACCCCCCTCTCTGGAGTCATGGCCATTGCACAAAGTAAGATCTGTTCTTGATCAGAAAACTTGGGAGCAGGGAAAAGAAACATGGGAAGTGGGTCAACTGATTAAAAATGGCTTCTAAAAGACCCCATTCAAACTCACCCACCACTTGTAGATTTGATTCAGCTTGTTTAGAGCCTCATTTCTCTCCTCAATAGTATTTGGATTGTTTAGCCATAAACGAGAGAAATTATGGAATAGAGTTGAATCTGGGTTGTGGCATGCCAGCTATGCCTTCTGGGTCAAATCACTGACCTTTATGAGATTCAGTTTCCTTGTCTGTAAAATGGGTCGCTGAGGTGCTCAGATGACAGTGTGTATATACATGCTTCTAAGTCTATAAACAGATGTGTGTAGTATTGCAGCTTATACTTCTTCCTAGTGTTCATTTGTATTCCTAAGTATATGAGAGACTTTCCAGGAGGTTGTGCTGATGTTCCTTTGTGTTGGAAGACCTGATGGGCTTCCTTCTAAATGGAGAATTCTATGTGGTCAGGAGACTTCTTTGGCCAGTGTTGAAAATAGAGTGAGAAGGAACTCTGAGGGGAACTGTCATAGCATCTCTGAGTCTTTAAGGAGGAATATGTTATTTAAGCCCGTGCCTGGGGAAGGTGGGATTCTTCGAGCTCTAGGAGGCTTGTATTCCACAGGAAGCCTGAGCCCCATCACAGATGGACCGTTACGGCACAGGAAGGCTGAGGTGGGCTGTCTGTGCGTGCCTCTCTCAGGGTTTTAAAGGTGAACAGTTTTCAGAGTATTTTTAGCTTTATCATGACAGCTCAGGCTCAGCCTTCATTTGTAACCCTGCAAAGTATTCCTGGGAAGTAAGATGTGTTCAATGGCACAATGTGCACCTTTCTTTCAACCTGGTACTGCCCACTGTGCTTGTGGCCTCCCTGGTGCCGAACGCCCGTGTTGACCACCTCCTTGTTTTGTCCTGCCTCTTCCTCTCCTTCTCTGCTCTCTCCTTAGATCAGGTCTAGCTGGGGTAGCAACTCAGATCCCTTCTGAAGAGGATGACTTATGAGCTTTTTTGAGGGCAAAACAGGGCTAGACCCATGGGAGGCACAGAGATGGACAGAATGAGTATGTGTGGCTCTTGCTCTATTCTTAGCCATCTGAAAGTGATATACTCTGCTTTTATTTTTGCAGAGGGAAATGGGAATAAAAAAGCCTTTGGAGGACTCATAAAATAAAAAATTATTTTAGATGTACTGCCTTTTCACTGGGCCTTCTCCAGGAGTATGGTAAACATATGAATGCCAGGGATCAAGAATGAGATTAAAATGAGATAGGATACCTGAAACCAGCCAGTTTGCCTTCCAGAACATTTGAGTAAAAGGCCCATGGGTAAGATATCCCACCTCTTTATTTCCATAACCAAAATGATGTACAAACCATCCAATTTACCTTCTTTCTCCCCACATTAGCCTTGGCTGGCACACACAGTTACATATTTTCTTAGGTACTCTCTGAACTAAATCTTCCCTGGCACTACTCCACATTTTTCAGTTTTGTCCCTCCTAATTTCTTCCACCCATACTTCTCTACCTTCTCACAATACTCTTACTCTCCTACCGCAGCTGGCCAACACCAGAGCATGACCTTAGAAGGGCATGTGTGTGTATGTATTTGTAGTGGTGGGAGCATCAAGACCAAGGAAATGGCCAGAAAACTTGGCTGAGACACAGTGGTCCTACCATACGGGGTGGCAGGCTGAGGACCTAACTGCAGTCATCATCGTTTATCCAACTCGTCCTGTTGAGTATACCGACGGGTCCTGCCTCAGGGCCTCAGAGCCCATGTAGGATGTGATGACAAATTACCTGGCAGTGCCATTTCCTTGTTATCTCCTCAGCTCCTGAGCTGGATAGCATGCTTCTTAAGCAGGAACCAGTGCCCAGAAAACAGATGTAAAGGCCAAGAGTTACACTCCACAGGAGCTAGAATGACATCAGTGGCTCTCGATCCTGGAATTGAGGCACATCAGGATCACAGTCTGTGTTGAAAATAAGATTCTTGGGCCTCACCTCTGAAGGTTCTGACTCATTAAGTCTTGGGTGGGGCCTAGGAATGTGTATTTCTTAAAGAGCTCCCCCCAGGTGATTCTAAAGCACAGGCCGGTTTCAGAACTATGTTGTCAAATGTCTTCCACTCCAGACAGGATAATTTGCTTTTCTCGGCAGAGATTTCTCAAAAGAGCAGTAGTAATGGGCTCCTGAGAAAATGGCAAAACCATGGGGCTTTCTAGGAGATGAGACCATAAGTTGGAAGGTAGGAGAGCAAAACAGGGTATCAGGGTATCAGGTGAGACACTGGCTTAGCAAGAAGCTGAGCCCCTGGGGAAGTGGCAATAGCACCATTCTGCTGATCCGAGGCCCCATCCTCACCCCCTGCCAGGAGGGCCAGGAAGAGGCTTTTTCTCCCTTCACTACTGCTCTGGGGCCTTGCCTTTTAGGTTCCTGATAATACTATCAGCTAAAGCTCTGCATAGGCGATTGTTGAGGCCTTTGTGCTCTCTCCACGGGGGGCTTCTGTGAGTCTGCTTAGGAACCCTTTCCACCTCAGGCAAGGCTCTCTAGGTGTCCGTCTGCATTTGCCTATGGGAGACCTTTCCCTGGATTTCCTTCTGCATCCCATTCTTCTCCCCATTTCCCACAAAGCAAGGTCAAAGGAAAGAGATTGGGTGTCTCATCTCTGATCATCCTCTTGTCTCCACTCCCACCCTGCCTGAGATGGCTTCCCCAAATTCCCACCCAGGGAGCAGCTGCTGGGTGGGTAGCGGGGACCCAATCTTTGCAGGCTGGCCCTGGTTCTAAAGAGGACTCAGGATAAAGAGACAGTGCAGAAACACAGAGGCCCTCATACAGCCAGAACAGAAAGATGGCAGGACCCACTCTAACTGACAACCTCTCACTTACTACTTCCTCCTTCCCATACCTGTCCAGTTGCTGCCACAAGCCCTACGCTGTCAGATAAGATTAACTGACATTGACTGGCTGTGTTCTCTCTCTGATCCAGTCAAGGAAATGAGCACCTGACCTCTCTCAAGGTCTTTGCGTAAGTCCGGTAAATGAGGGTCTTCAGGCTTCATATTCCCAGGACTGGAGGTTGGGGGTTTTTGTTGTTGTTTTTTAATCAAAATGTGGGTCCCTGCCCACTCCTGCCCTCTCGTGGACAGACAGATCTGGGCAATAATCTGCACCTTAAGAGTGGACACCCCTGGCCCTGCCCTGAGGGCGCAGGGCAAGCCCCTCTCAGAGTCAGGCATGGATGGAGTGGGCAAGTAGACTCAGCTTTCCCAGGGCTCTGACAGCCTCAAGGCACCTAAGTTTGGGAGGCCACAGGATGACTTTGGGAGACTCTTAGGCCTCAGTCAGATCTGTTTAAAACCCTTTCCATCTATAACTCACTATGGAATTTGAGCAGTCACTTAATCTCGTCAAGCTTCGGTTTCTTTATCTGTAAAATCATTTCCCATACATTCTCCTGTGTAGCAGGCTCAGCCGGGTGCCTGGCACATAGCAAGAGCTGTCGATGTGCCATTCTCATCCACTGACCTCTCCTCATCCCTGACTCCATGTCTGATCTCTCTCTCTTGCTCCCACAGGCCTCAACACATCCCAAGCACAGAGCGTCCCCGTCATCAACAGTGTGGCCGGCAGCCTGGCAGCCCTGCAGCCCGTCCAGTTCCCCCAGCAGCTGCACAGCCCTCACCAGCAGCCCCTCATGCAGCAGAGCCCGGGCAGCCACATGGCCCAGCAGCCCTTCATGGCGGCTGTGACTCAGCTGCCAAACCCGCACAGTAAGGACCAGGCCTGCTGGGGAGGGAGTGCGTGGGGCCCTCAGCAGCCACCTGCTGCCCGGTCTGGGTCTGAACCTTCTTGGAAGCATGTTGGTTTGGTCACTTTTCCCTATCCATCATCAACCAAGACAGTCTCTCAAGCATACACCTATATGGGCTGTGCCTCTTCTCGTTGTCTATTCCCCTCCTGAGATTCCCAGCGGAAGGTTAGAAGAGGAACTGGAGGTTGAGAGCAAGGGTAGCATATATGTGAAGCTTGTGTCACAGCTGCCCACGCTGGCACCCACGAAAGATGTCACCAGCCAACTGCAGCACCTTTTCCCGAGGAGCCTCAGCTTAGCCTTCTCAATGCAAAATCCCCATGATCAGAGTTGGCCTATACTTTACACCCTATTTGCTTTACCTGAAATTGAAGAATCTTTTAGAGTCCCTATGCCCTCCAATTTACACACCCCTCTAATCAAGCTTACGTTAAACATCTCTAAAATAAAGAACCATGAACTTAGGTGAAAATTACCACCAGCATGTCATTCTGCACAAGGAACATTGGCATTCCTGCCCCATATACAGAGGCTATTTCTCACAACCAGTCTTTACACCTACCCTAAGTCTACTCTTCAACCACTTGCAGGCCCACTACCCCAGCCCTTACATCTCTGCCACCCTCCCCAGCCCTGAGCCCCAGGTCCCCACCCACCGGCCTACAAGTTTGGGGAGAAATTGTGAAAGGATGGCTTCCCTGCTTCAGACATAGTTTTATTTATGTTTCAGTGATAGTTTTAGCATCAGGCAGCCCTAGATTTAAATCCTGGCTCAGAGACTTACCACTGGTAAGTTGCTTAGCCATTCTCAGCCTCAATTTCTTCATCCATACAATGGAAATAATATGCATGTAGAATGATTATGAGGTTGAAATAAAAATAGGTATGAATTGTGCCTGGTAACCAAAGAGGTACAGAAGTGCAAGTGATTATTTAGTAAGAAACTCCTTAATAGAAGGAGGCGAGAATGGGGAAGAGGATTTTAGTTTCTCCCCTGGCTGCCTCAGGCAGAGCTGTGGATCACAGGAAGAACAGTCAAGTTCAGCCTTCTTCTGTCCTCAGGGCTCTAGTCTGCCTCAGGCCTGCAGAGCTGGTTTCTAAGCACCATCTCACATTCCAATCACATTTTTTGTGTGTGTAGCTTCTAAAAAAATCTGCCACAGCCTGTAGCAGGGTCTGGGACCACATGTGCCCGACTTCCCATCCACCCAGGAAGGGTATTTGCCACTTGCCTCTGCCCTCTCACTAGGCAGGATTCCTCAGTGGCCAGGGCTGGGTGGAACGGACAGAGAGTGGCCACCAGTGACCTGTGGACTGCCAAGGCCCAGCTGCTACAGAGAGAGAGCCTGTGGGGCCCCAGCCTCCCTCTGGGAAAGGCAAGCTGAGGCGGCAGGCAGTGACCTTTACCCCTGCTCTCTACTGGAGTGCTCCTTGGTAGAACAACCTGGTCCTCCCTCATGGCCAAGCATCCACATGCTTTCATTAGTTGGTCATATGACCTGGAATTTCTATAAATCTTATGGATGACTAGTATGAGTCAAAAGGTTCTAAACTTGATGGATGAATACTAGAAAAACTGAAAAATGAGTCACATGCTCCTGGAGGTTTTATTTGAATTCAGTCTCCCTTTATCTATCATTCTGTGATAGATAATGGTCCTTTATTTATCATTTCTGTGATGTCAAAAGGCTATGATATCATTTTAGTGCAAATTGAAACATCCCAGAATTATGCCATTGATTACTCATGTGTAATTACAATTTATTAACCCATCTACAATGGCTAGCATGAGACTTGGTGCTTGAGCCATGACAGAAGGGTAAGCATGTGCTGGCCAGCTTGTTCATATTTGCCAGCCACTTGGAACCTTTTTTTATTTAAAATCTCAGGTGCCTATGAGTCACTTGTTGATGCCTAGGCATCTAATGCTTTACGGAAAGTCAGGGGAGTCGAAGTAATCCCACCACAGAAGTGCTGTCTACCACTACATAGTAGGCACTCTGCAAAGCTGTTCAGTTAGTTATTTTGTACAAAGTTATCCCAACATGATTTGTTTTGATCCTGTAACAGGTATCATTCCCATTTTACAGGTGAGGAAACTGAGGTTAAGTAATTTGATTAGGGAGCTAGGATTTAAACACATGGCCATTCTTTTTATCACATCATACTGCCTCCCCAAACTACCACTCCCTCTACCCCCTTTTACCCGCCCTGTGGAGCTGTGAACAGGAGCTGTGGTGTGGGATGGGGAGTCTGTGGCTGTGCATACACCTGTGTGATCTGCACCCTGATTTGTCTTCATTGTCTCCCCAGTGTACACACACAAGCAGGAACCCCCCCAGTATTCCCATACCTCCCGGTTTCCATCTGCGATGGTGGTCACAGATACCAGCAGCATCAGTACGCTCACCAACATGCCTTCCAGTAAACAGGTAAAGCTAGCAGGAAGGTGTTGTGGGGGTGGTGTCTAAGGCTATTGATGTGCAATGTGGCAAATGTGGACTCAGCCATATGTCCATCTGTCCTTCCGAGGCTCCCTGTTCCTCATGAAAGGAATCCCTAGAGTCACAGGACAAAAAAGTCAGGCCAAAGGCTAAAGGGGCTTATTGCTCCCCCAGCTTACCCAACAAGAGTGCTAGATGAAGACTGAAGTTTGGTGAATCGCTGGAGCCTTGGTTATACAGAGCCTTTAGGTTCAGAGAGTAATTATGCCCCCATGGATTGATCAGTGATCCAGGGAAAAGGTATTTCCAAGGAGGGCTCAGGAATTCACAGCTTGTGTGGAGTTTCATGCTTTGCAGGAAGGATCCTTAAGGATTTTCCACAAGTAAATCAATGGAGAATGTGAGCAGTGAGTCAGGGGTCCTGAAGCAGAGTCCCCCAGTCTGGGACCCATGCTGGGCCCAGAATGCTGGATGCTCTAGAGAATGACCCAATTCTGCCATGCACAGGGACTCCCCAGGGGACAGCCTGGCCTTTCAGGGGCCAGCATTTACTTGGTATTTAGTCAAGAAACTTAGAATTGGCTTCCTGGTGGCCCAGAAGTGGGGATCTACAGGCTTAGTTACCATTTCAGTTGGGGACGAGCTCCTACCTCCATGTGGAGGTGCTGGAGGAGGGAAGACCGCTGGCGGCTTGCCTCCTCGCTGCAGTGTGTGCAGCTGGGCTGTCACAGGTCACCAAGAGTTAGAAGCAGGACAGGATGTCTGAACACAGATGACAATTCCAGAATAATACAATAGAGCCTTTTAGGAGCTGGGGGTCTGTGCAGTGTGGGAACTGTTTGGCCTGTATTGATCACCAGATAAGTAGGTGATAACCTTGAACTTCACGTCAGAGGCTCTCAGCAGAGTTTGGTCTTGTCGATGGTCTTTATCCATCTCAGCCCCACATATCACACCTTATCCACTGCTGTGCGCTTCCAAGCATGTTCTTTCCTGGGCTCAGTTTCTCTGTTCTTCCCTGTGCCCATGCCTCTCCCTGGCCAGGCAGCGCTGTGGAGCAGGTGAGTTCTCTTCCTGGTTGTGCCACTTGTTTGGTGACCTTGACCTCCCTGAACCTCCATTTCTTCATCTTTAAAACGAGAGTCATACTATCTACTTGTTCTGAGGATTCGATGAGATCACATAGATTAAGTGCCTGGCACATGGAGACACACACACACACACACACACATACACACACACACACACACACACACAGGCAGCTGGGCCCAGGAATTGGGGGACAGGGAGAGGTGTGTGGGACCTGCTTTGCCAGTCTTCTCTCACCCAGTGGAAGATGAAAGGACAGCCCCCCATTGCCCTTCCCTTCGACTCCCGTGCAATTTCCCACTCTTTGTAGTGAGCAGGGAAAACATTTATCTGTGCTCACAAATCTCAATCAGGGGGGCAGCCAGGCGCAGCGGCCCTGCTTGGGAATACCTTCCTCTTTGAAAGGTTTATCAATCCATCTGCCGCTTGGTCAGCCCAAGACAGGGCCGTGATTAATTATTCCTGTCTTTCCCAAGTTGACTTTGATGCTTGCTTGTTGAAACAAGTCCTCTGAATTCCGGAAATGGTCTCTTAATCAAAATGCTTCAAGATGCTCCATGAGACGCTGCACCGGCCCCCAGATGGCTTCTCCCCTCCACTGGACAGAGGGGCCAGCCAACCTTGAAGCTGCATGAGCAGCCCTCTAGAGCTACTGTGACGTTGCCTACAAGTCCCCAGACCTTTCACGAGTCTGGCAATAGACTTGTTTCTGGGATGGTGAGGATGATGACTATACTTAGTAAAGATAAAACTATTCATGTAGCATTTTACAGTTTGTACTTCTCATGGACACTTGTCTCATCATTTTCTTTTTATTGAAACCTCTTAAGAGAACAAAGAACTGAACTGAGGCTCAGAGAGGGAGAGTGACCTGCTCAAGATCACACAGATGATAAATCCTAGAGTTAGACCTCCAGACTTTGCTCTTTGACTCTAAATCCTAGGCTCCTGCTACTTAAACAGTATTTGCCTTCCAGTCACCCACCTGTAAATACCCACTGGAATTGCTGCTTTTGTGGTCTTTAAATGCCAGGAACAAGAGTGACAATGAAGCCCACTTATTATATTCTGATCAGGAGATGTTCTTTCTATGCACCAAAGGGGAGGTGGAATGAAGTACAGTGAGAGTGAAGGGCTGTCCCGATGGCCAAGGGGGTCAAAGTGAAGGAAGGGCTACAAACTCTCTTCTGTAGGCAGAGCGTCAGAGTGAGTTCCAAAAGGGACCTGGTGGCAATTCTGCTTTTTCTCTGTTTTAAAGTTATTTTCCAAAAGGAGTTTCAAGTCTGTTGCACATGGTGTGAGGAAAGCGGGGTTTCTTGGTCTAATATGCGCAGGGGGAAGGTCTGGATTAAGCAGTTACCCCAAGGCAGAGCTTCTCAGGTTCCTTCCTGTGCTGACGTGGGCAGCCAGTGGGGCCGCGCCGCACTGCTCCGTCCAAAGCATACGTCCTGGGCAAGGCTTACTAGGGTGCTAGGAAAAGCCAACAGACCTGGGCTAATCCCAGCTCCTTCATCCGCTGTGTGACTTCGTGACTTTGGGCAGTTATTTCACTGAAGTGAGCCAGTTTCTTCATCTCAACGGGGAAAATTCCACCCCCATCTCACTGAATATTTATAGTGGCTGATACATAGTCAAGTACTCAAAGTGGTAACTCCCTCCCTGTTCCTTCTCCTTTCTGTCTGTCATACTTTAGGAGACACTTTCCATTGTCTGCAATATTTAACTCATTGCTTCCCATTCTCCTGCAGACATGTAGATGCCCTGTTGTCTATTTCCCAGGGGCCTCTCAGGGCACCCAAGACCTTGGTGTTTAGCCATTTCCTGGGTGATAGTGGGTGTTCCATAAATAGGAGGGAGGGAGGGAGACAGATGCTGGAACTGGTCTGAGTGGCTGCCATGTGCCAAGCAGCACTCCCATGCTTTTCTATCTCACCTTTCCTGCCTAACCCTCCCACCTCTCCTGCAAGGTAGATATTTTTATGCCTGATTCACAGAGGAAAACACTTAGGTCCCAAGATGGGGAGAGATCTGTCCAAGTTCACACAAATAATAACTCTTGAGCCGGACTTCAGCTTTGGTTTTCTCCAAGTCCATTTAACAACACACACCTTCTAATATCCATTTTTTAATCACTCATAAAAAATGACCCAAGGTTATGCAGGTATAAGGCTGAAGTCGGGATTTGACCTTGCGCCTGTCTGATCACAGTATTTCCCCAGTGTCCAGACAGGTGACCTGGGGCCCTGAGGATCATGTTTCAGTAAGCTCAGGCTGGGCCTTTCTCCCCGAAATCCTTCTGCAGCTCCCACTATCTGTTCTTTTCAGACCAATTGTCTCCCCATCTGCCTCCGATGTTTGGGTGCTGGCCAGTTACTATCTGAGTGGGTCTGTGCCTGAGCTCCTGAAAAACAACGTCCTGCCAGTCTGAAAATAAGACTTAACAGCAAGCACCGACCTTGGTTAGAACAAGTGTGGGCAGGCCCTGAGCCGTCTCCTGTTTTCACAACTTCCCTGCCCACTGCTTCACTTCCTAGTTTACAGAGAGGTCAGGAGAGGGCCCCCAGAGCAGGCACCACTCAGAGGTGCTGACAAGGAGGTGGGCAGCCTTGTCATAAATCCCCTGCAGCTTTTCCCCACCCTTCCAACTGTCTCCACTGGTAGTGAAGCGATGTGGTCTGACGATTAACAGCACCATCTTGGGAGGCAGGCAGATCCAGGCTCAAAATCCTGACACTGTCTGCCTGTGTGACCTCAGAGAATCATCTTAGCCTCTCTGAACTGCAGTTCTCTCAAGGGTAATGTGAAGATAATGATTCCTCTTTCATGGGATCATTGAAAGGACTAAAGGAAGTAAGTTTATAAAACACTTAACTCTGGGCTTGGTCCCCGCAGTCCATGGTAGCTGGGTCAGACTTGATTTCCCCTGGTGGCAAGTCAGAATGTCACTTGAGCTTCAGAAGGAGGATTTTAAATGGCAAAGGGCATTTATTTCCCTCTTGCTGCACTCGTAAGGTGGGACCATAGCTTTTCTTTTGTGAGACCCTGGACAAGTTCCTCGTTAATCTCTCTCAACCTCTGTTCCCTCCTCTGTAAAACCGGAATATTAATCATTACTTTCAATTAATAAAGCTATAAGTAATCTAACTTAATAATAATAGAGTTGGGTTCTGTACGCACTGTCTCCCCCTCTTCCCCCACCAGTTCCCTCTCAAGACCACTGGCCATTGCCCTCACCCTCCACTGAACCCTCTCTTGTCCAGCTCACAGGGCCTCCAAGTTGTCAGAGCCCAGCCTCTGTCTCTGACATAACTGATTGCTCCCTTTTGTTTCCCTTGAAATTTAGGATGTTACCCATTCCTGGTTCTCCTCCTGTGGCACCCTTCATTTCCTTAGCTGGCAACTCGTCTTCCCGGCATTTACTTGTTGGAGACCCCGAGGCTCATTCTCTCCTATTTCACAACTGGATGGTTTCCTCTAGTCCCAGGCTCTGGGTCAGGTCCACACACTGATGGATCCTATCATTCTGTCTCCAATACAGACTTCTGCCCTGAGTACCCACTCAAAAATCCAGTACACCTTTGGCATGTACATATGCCCACCTAATATATATGACAAATTGCACCTGCCCAAAATAGGGACTCTGCATTTGCCCCCATTTCTCCCTACCCAAATTGTTTCTTCCTTGGACTTCTCCATTTCCAAAAGTGGTACCAGTTGTTCAGGGGAGATACTGAGAGTCCCCCTGAGTCTTCTCTCCACACCCCACATCTAGTCCATCTGTAGGCTCTGCTTGGGATCATTCCCATGCATCCTAAATCTGACCACCTATCACAGCCACATCAGTCCAGCTCCTTCCTGTCTCTCCCTCATCTCTTGAGCAGCCCCTCACTTCCCATTGCTTCATCTCTTGCCCCACAATGGTGGGTATGGTCTGTTCACCACACAGCAGCCAAAATTATCTCTTAAGAAGGGAAATCAATCATGTCACTCCCCTGTCAAAACTCTCAGTAGCTTCTCGCTGCAACCAGATGGAGCCTTCCAAGGCCCCGTGTGAGCAGACCGCTGCCAGCCCTGCCAGGCCTGCCTCCTTCCTCTCCTCCTTCTCTCCCCCAGCTGCAGCTGAGTAGACCTGAAGTGCTCTTGCAGCACAACTTCCGCATTGAGGTATCCTGTGCCTGGCGCCTTCTCTAGTGCACATCTTTAACAGGCTTGTTCCCTCATTTCATTCAGCTCAAATGCCACCACCTCAAACAGCCCCTCTGGATCCCGCTCCCTAAATCATTCCCTTTCTCCTGAGGTCACCCTAACCTCTTCCCATGCTTATTTTTCTAAAGAGTAATCATCTCTACCTAAAATGCTAGTTTACTATATACATATATATGCATTCATTTGTTTGTTGTTCAAAACGCTGTCTAGAGTGTAAATTCTGTGAGGTTGTGGACAGGGTTTTTTCCCCTTTGCACCCCCAGTATCTAAAAAAGTGCTCATATAGAAGACTCTCAAAAAGGTGTTAAATGAAGGAGTGAAAATTACCTGCCTTAGAGGGTTTATGTAAGAATCTAATGCAAAAATACAGTAAAACCCTTACTTAGTGTGGTGCCTGGCACATAGTAGGACCTTGAGAAATGTTAGCTATTAACATTATGTAACAAATGCTCTTAAAATGAGGATGCCCTTAACAATTGCACAGCTACCACACCTTTCAGACAGAGGGCTCCGCATTCACTCAGAGATCCCCTGGGCAAGGCCCCCGTGGGGCTGGGTGTGCTGGGCCTCAGTTCTAAGGGACCACAGTGTACCCCTTATCAGCTGTTTGTGTTTAGACTCTGAAGGGGGCAAATAACTCTAGTTCCTTTGACAACATTTAGGGCTCTGCCACCATTTTATTATGTGAGCAAACATTTGATAGCTGGGAAGCCCATCCCTAATGACAGGTCATAGAATCTTGCTGGCGTCTCCTTATCTGCCTTTCTTGTTTGCTCTTCTATTGAAACCTGCAAGGTCACAAGCCATTTTCTCTCTCCTCCACCTGAAATCTGAAAATTAGAAAAAGGCTGATAGTGGGAAGTAAAGAGCCTCAAGAATGGGGGTGGGTAGAGGGAGGAAGAGGAGGCAAAGGGTATCAGAGGGCCCTGACCAGGGGGCCTCAAGAATTTAAGAGGGTCAGAAGCCTGTCTCTCAGAATGAATAAGCTCAAGCCCACTCTGAAGAGCACTCGAGAGCAGTGTGGACAGAGGACCCTGTGCAGGGCGGCAGCAATGAGACTGTTGTGCCCAGCCCCATTCTGCATACTTCATGTGTATCTGCTCACCTAACCCCTTAATACCTCATTTTGTAGGTGAAGAAACTGAGGCACAGAGAGTAACTTGACCAAGAGTGTAAAGCGAGTAGAAAACTCTTAACCTCAGGGCATAATAGAAATACCACGTTTTGGGAGGTCACCCAGAACTGGTTTTAATTTTTGGTTGTACGTGCTCCTAGTTCTGAAACCCTAGGCAGTTCACTGACTCTCTTTGAGCCTTGTTTTCCTAATCTGTAAAATGGACGTATTGGCAACTTCATACAGGGCTATGACTGGGAGCACTGATTAATGGAATAAGAAGCCTTTAGTGTTAGTGGTCGGGGGGTGTGCATGTGTGTTTGAGGGTGATTGTGGAAAGAGTAAGGCAGAACCTTTCCTCTAGATGCCAAAACAAGGGGCAGGGAAGGAGGGGACAGAGGGAAGCAAAATGAGGCTTCCTGGAAGGAAATTGAGAGGAAGAATGTTCCATGACAGTTGAAGTGACTGAGGTCCAGGGCTCTGGAAGGGGACACTTCCCCCAAGATGGGCAGTATGATGCCTCCCAGCGGGTTTCTCCATCCGTCTTGGGATCTCCTGGCCCTGGCCCACCTGGAAGCCTCACATCACAGGCCTTCAGCTCCAGTCCTCTGAGTTTCTTGCAATTTCCCACCCTTCTTCCCTGATGGATCATTTGAGTGAGTGGTGATTTTTGTCATGTGCTTTATGGCCTTGCTGTTCAAAGCAGGCAGTGGCATTAGCACAGCCTAGAATCTGATTAGAAAAGCAGGTTCTTAGGCCCCCCGTGGCCTACTAAGTCAGGATCTCCAGTACCTGTAGGTGCATGAAAGTTTGGGAAGCAGTGATCTAGGGGACCTCTGCTCTTAGAGATCTTAGGAAGAGTATCCTTACTTCCGTGAGAGGCACAAGCTCCCCATCCAGCTGCCATTGCAACCACACCAAGCACCCTTAAACCACTTTTGCAGAAAGAGGAGCCCAGCCTCAGGATAAAGGTCTGCGAGTTCTGACTATTTCAAGGTCGGCAGCAGTTTACTTCTCTCTTCTGCAGTGGCAGGAAGAGCCAGCTCCCAGGTTTTCCTGAAGGGGGTGGGCTTCAGGACCAACACTGCAGAGCTGAGCAGGCACTAGGTCCCCAGCGACCCCGCTCCCAGCCCTCTGCTGCCTGAGTTGGTATCAGCTCCCTGGAGAAGTCAAACTAATGGCCCATGGCCCTGCCAAATGCACACAGCTGAGCTCTCTCTCCTCTCTCTGCAGTGTCCTCTCCAAGCCTGGTGATGCCCACCCATCACTTACTTTGTGCCCAGCAACAAGGGCCCGATTTTCCACACCATCCCCCTCTGGGCAGCTGTCACAGGAAAGCCCAACGACCTGACAAACACCTGTGAGAGGTCCCTGCTTTCCTGACATTCTGCTGGCTCCTCAGACAGTCCACTCCAGAGAGGTGCGAGCCGAAGCCCAGCTTCCCTTTTATGCAGTATTGTCACGATGCCTCTCCCAACATGTCACGTGCTCCCATCCACGCTGGAGGCCGGGGACAGGAAACCATGGAAGAGGAAGAGAGAAAGCTGTTTTGTCTACATTTGCTTCTTCATCGAACAAACTGATGTGAAAACTTGAATCTGTTACTGAAAGGAGGAGAGGAGGCCGCGTGCTATTGAACTGAGCCAAACACACTGTAAATATCAGCAAACTCCCTCCCCGACCCCATCCCAACTGATCTTGAGATTTCTTTTAAAGAAGCAAATCTGTCCAATAGATGTAAACTATAAACTACTGTAATTAAGTGCAATTTCCGCTCCACTTCCTCTCCTCTCTGCCCTGTATATAATACAAAAGTGTCTATTAGTTTCCTTTGCAAAGGTCAGAGTTGAATTTTCAAAGTGATTTGCTCCCTTCCTCTTTCCCCATGGAGAAATATCCTAAGTTGGAAGTGAAGCCTTTGCCCCCTCCCTCAGGCCTGTACACACACAGGGACTGTATGTTTTGGACTGATTACCAGCTAACTCTAATCTCCTGTTGTTAAGACACACCTCTGGATCCCTGGAGGGGCTGAACACAGTGTCAGAGTAACGTCTTGGCTTCTGGTGGGGCTAGGAGCTCAGCCAGTACACCCCCAAGACACCCCAAGGCAGGGAAACTCACTGTTTGATAGCACAAGAAAAAGTTGGCCTTTCAGAAAGCCTCCCATTAAAACAATTTATTTTATCACTGCCCAGAGTCTCATATTTCTGTCTCTGATACTTCCCCTGCCACGGTTCCACCAAGAAGCCTTGGCCCCTGGTCTCCTTGGAATTTTCCGCTTACACCCCTGGGCTTACTGCTGCCTGTCCCAGGTCTCCATGCTGGCTTTACTGCTAAGGTATGAAGAGTCAATATCCCCAGGCAGACTCCACATGCCTCTTGGAGGGCATCTGGCCACATCATGAGAGCCAACATCTTTTTCAGCCCTGTAACTCACAGGAGTAAAGTAACAGAGCCAATACTTGGTGACTATTGATCATAGGAAGACATAAAAAGCAGGAAGAATGGAAAGCTGGTGGTAACTCTTCAACTTCATTTTAAGCATGAATTCCAGCCTTTCCTCCCTTCTGTGGGGCTGTTAGTCCCTAGGAGAATGAGCTCTTGTGGGTGTTGCCTCCTGTCCAGGGTTGCCTCTCTGGTGAGAATGCTAATGAATATAAGTAGTCCAAAAGGTGAAAAGCCAAAGGCCTGGACACTCTGCCAGCAGGGACTTTGTGAGAAATAATCCAATGTTGACTCCAGGAGGGCGGATGGACTATCCTCTTTGGTGTCTACTCTTTTGTACAGAATAGACCTACCAGCATGTGGTTTCTTGCTTCTTGACAGAGGATTTCCCAGGCAAGGTGTAAGCAAGGGAATTGTGCTGAGCAGGCTCTGAACAACAGGTTTTTCAAAATCCCAATATAGTAGAAGATGCAATTCTCAGTGAGCTGGGAAAATTTACTGAGTACTACTGTGTGCCCAGGGCAAGGATGGATAGATATGGAAATACTGACCTCCTTTGGTTCCTGGCTCCCCTGGACAATGTGATTTACACTGAAGTGGTCAAGAGAAAACTCATGGTTGGATTGAGAAGGGCTGGGGCTAAGACCAAGACCCATGTGGCAAGAGAGGCCCAGATGCCCCAGCATTAGTTGAGATACCTACTGAATGGCTCCTTTGAGTTCCAGGGAGAGGAAGGGAAGATAGCCCTCAAACCTCAGCTTCAGCTGGAGCCCTGTATCTGGACTCTCATTGTTTCTGGGACAGCAAGTATCCACATTTGATACATTTTAGACCTTGCATTATTGCACTATCCCTGAGAACCTAGAAGGCCCTGTTCATCCGGGAGGTCATTTGGGCAGAGATAGAAGGTTGGGGATGGGGAGAGGAGTCGGGTGGGAAAGTCTTTAGAGACTACTTAACCATACCCTATGTGAACCAAAACATGTAGAGAATGACCTTGGTAACTGAGGCCCCCAAGAGGGTCAATACTGCCTGCTGAACCTCCAGGGACCATTCCCCACTGGCTCTAAGGTGGGCAAGGAGGCCCACTGTGTATGGGTCCAGGGAGGAATGACTCACTTTAAAGATTCATTTGCAACTAAAAATCCCCGTTCCTTCCACCAGAACCTTATGGGCCAACATTTCCAGGGTCTCTCTTTATACCCCAAGCCCATGCCAACAAATAGATGGTTCCGTTTTTACCATGACCTGCTGTCATTTTCTAGAGCGAGCTCTGGGGAAGTCAGATTTCATTTTAATATCCATGGATAAGGAATGAAAACCTGGCTTAAAAACAAAACACATTAAACATTTCCATATCAAACAATGAAGTATTCCTCCCAAAGGCAGAGATAACCTGAGGGTTCCCTGCTGGATTCAGGTGGATAAGAACACAATGAGGACAGCCAGGGGATCTGAGTCCTTGGACCACACTTGGAGGCAGGTCTTTGACACTCTTTGTGGAGCCAGAATGCCTTGATTAGAATCCCCAGTTCTCCACTGAACCTCATCCCCACTGTCCTACATAAAATTGGGTGATTATAATTGTGCCCACTGTCTAAGGTTGGTTGAGAACTAAATGAGTGAATACTGGTTAAATGCTTAGAAGAGTGTCTGTAGGTTGTGAGTGCTATGTGTTCACATTCTCTCATCCCAGAGTGCCTCTTCATGTAGTCTTCTGTGCTTGGTTGATATTTCCGGATTACCTCATCACAAATTTGACACTTGGTAAAGAAAACTGCCAGTTCTTGGTAAAATTATTTTGTTCATTTCTATGGTATACGGCAAGTCCAGCAGTGGCCGAGGGTGAGTCAGGGTGGGAAGGCCTGAGGAGAGGGGAGAGGCTTGCCTGGGGAGTCTTTGTCTTCTTAGGGAAAGAAGGTAAAATGTGGTGATCTGGTGATGGAGTGTGAGGGCCACAGAGAGCCTGAAGGCGGGGCCTGGAGCTGGCTTTGTGTTCCGAAGGGTGGGAGGGGCGTCACAGGGGAGGAGCCCAGAGCGCAAGCGCGGATGTGGGTTGCAAAGAGGCAGGAGGACGCTCCTTCCCGAGGAAACTCAGGGCTGATGTGTCCCCCTTGGATTAGGAATTCATTCAAAGAAAAGCCATTGAAACCTGCTCTGGAAAATAAGACATGGCCTATAGTGGACCATGCAATGATACATGACATATTCATGTTTTAATACTTCTGATGCTTCCTAACCATACCAAACAGGCAGAACATTCATGAGAATTTGCGATCAGCTAAACCAAAAGCCTGTGAAGCCCTTCTCTCCCTCCTCCCTCCTGCCTGCTCCTTCCTCCCTCCCTCCTGCCTGCCCCTCTCTGGTGCAGAGGTCATTCCAGTTTGGCAAATATTAGATTGTCAGCCAAGATTTATAACATGTCTGTATTTTATAAATGAATCTTTGGGGTGTGCAGGACTTCATGCATACCTGAAGGACCATTTTCTCCTGGTTATGTGTACAGTGGTATGTGCATATATATTTATAGGAAACACTTTGTAAGGAAGAATAAGCAGAGCAAACACGAAGGGGCCAGTATCAACAGCAGGATGCACCAAATGCAGGCTTCCTGCATCTGCTTATGCATGTCTATACCAGCAGATCGTACAACACAAATACAAGATATTTCTTTGCAGTTTCCACGTTTCATCTTCTCTCCAGATACATGCTGTCATAGTCCCAAAATGCAGGTTTCTTTCTTGTGTCCTATTGTCTAGATATCCTTAATAAACCAGTTACATTAAATTATTCCCAATCATGAAATACATAAAAAGATAAAGCTAATTTTTTTAAAAGATCAAAAAACAAAACAAAACAAATCCCAGTAGCAGGAAAGCATGCCTGACTTCCTGAGCTATTATAAGACCTTCTGTGTATCCCTTTGCTTTGGGAAACATCGTCTAGTCCAAAATAATGTTTCGCATTTATTTAATTCAAGAAATATTTCCTGACACCTATTGTGTACCAAGCACCATTGTTACAGACTGTGAGGATACATCAGTGAACTAAACAGATAAAAACCCTTGCCCTCATGAAGTTTGCATTCTAGTGGGGGAAACAAGCAGTAAATGTGTGTGTGCACATTTGATAATTGTAAAAATTTATGGAAAATACAGCGGGGCACCCAGATTAGCCAGAGCAGAGTGAGAGGGAACATGGTGGGTCAGGGAGGTGACCGGAGTGCTAGGGCCTGATGGCAGATGACACAGGGCCCCATCACCCTGTGTAAGGACTGCTGTAAGCTGGTGTATGGACTTTGGCTTTTCCCCTGAGGGAGCTGGGAGCCATCAAAGCTTTGAACAGAGCCATGACAAGATCTGACATGTGTTCTAGAACAATCCCTCTGGCCAGTGAGTTGCAGGGAGGGGCCAAGAGTGACAGCAAAGAAACCGTCAGGAAGCCTTTGCCATCATCCAAGCCTGAGATGAAGGCTGGAGGTAGTGGTGATGAGAGGTGGTCCGACTGCAGGCGTTGTCTTGAAGGTGGAGGATTTGAAGGCACCAGGATTTCCTGTTGGTTTCCATGGGGAGTATATGAGAAAGAGAGGCATCGGAAATGATTCTACAGTCTGGAGCCTGAACAAAGTAGGCAATAGAAATTGATGCTGTGGAAAATTTTAAAATAGTGTTAAGCTAGACAAAGGCTCTATCTAGGTATTTTTTTTCAAGTGGCCCTTTAGGAAGCATCGTGGCAGTGCCTCACGCTGTGATGTCTGCTGTCATCACGTCCCTCATGTGATGTCAGGGCTTCCAGGCAGCAGTAACGTGACCTCCAGTCATTCAGCCAACGAATGTTTATTGAGTGTCTTACTGTGTACTACATACTCTTTTAGGCATGGGGAGAAAAGCAGCTTTAAAAATGTCATTTTTCCCATGGAGCTCATGTTCTACTGGGAGGGAGCCAACAAAATAAATAAATACACCATGTGCCAGGTATTGATAGGTACTAGAAAGAAACACAAAGCCGAGACAGGGGCTGGAGGCGGGGAAGGAGGTGGATTGATTTTCATAGGGGATCCCTATACCTTTGCTTTCCAAGGCAGGATTTCTTTTGCTCATCCTGGCTAAAAAGATGCTGGAGTGTGTTTCTGAATCACCTATACTTGTGGTTAAAGATTTATTCTCCCTGCTGCCTCCTTCTCCAGGAGACTATATTCATTTCCTGTGACTGCTGTAACAAATTATCACAATGATAGTGGCTTAAAACACCAGAAATATATTTTCCAAGTTTTGGTAGCCAGAAGTCTAAGATCAGTATCATTGGGCCAAACCAAGGAGGCAGCAGGGCCACACTCCCTCAGAGGTTCTAGGGGAGAATCTGTTGCTTGCCTCCTCCAGCTTCCGGCGGCTGCTGGGTTCCTTTGCTTGTGGCCACGTCGCTCCAGTCCCTGCCTCTGTGGTCACCTTGCCTTCTTGCCTGTGTCAAATCTCCCTTTTCCTCCTCCTCATAAGGATACATGTGATTGCATTTAGGACCCACATGAATGATCTAGGGTAATTTTCCTCTATCACATCTGCAGACTCTTTTTCCTTTTTAGGTAACATTTACAGTTCCCAGGCATTAGGACCTGATACCTTTGTGGGTTGTTATAGGAACAATTACAGTGACTTCACCACACACCCAAAAAAGAGAACTTAATGTTATAGTTTCTTTTATACAACTTTTCAGTTAAGACTTATCATTACTTCACAACACAGGCATAC